CTTGGCCACCGTTTGCGCCGGCTCATCGCGATTCGATCACGACCGTTTTCGCTTGACGTTGTCGTAAGTGACCCACTTTTCATCACCAGTAACCATTCGCTTCAGAAATGGGTCGATTTTGTTGCGATTCAGCAGCGATTCGCAGATGGAAATTCGGTCCATGAGGTTTTTTTGCGTTAACTCGTGTGGCACCCATACATCGAGCTTCTTTTTGTATCCAGCCTTATTTAAATGGTTCCAAACGGTTTTTTGTGCAATGTTTAGCTCCTGGGCAATCGAAACAGTGCTTACATGACGGTCGGACTCGACGATTTCCATTATTTTATCGACATTTTCGACAATTGGCCTTCCAGAGCGTGGTGCATCTTTGACATCAAAATTACCGGAACGGAATCGACGAAACCAAAATTGCGCGATATTGACTGTTACAGTATCAGGACCATAAACACTATTCACATTTTCAGCCGCCTGGCTTGCGTTTTCGCCTTTATCGAAGAAAAACTGTAAAATATGGCGTATTTTCTCTTTGTTGGTGTCCATCTTTGACACGCGCTCAAACAATACTGACTCAAGCAATCACAAAACTGTCTGAGAAGTTTTTTTAGTACGAAATCTTATCTTTCTAACGCCATTTGGCGTAACCCGATCGCACTTATACAACGCGAGATACAGATTACTAAAGCCATCTATTGGAAAAATAATAGATTTCTTTTTACTACACCTTATATGTACGCACACGCGCACGCCCCCCGCCCCCTCCCTCCCCACATACACGCATACGCGCGCACACACACGCACAGTATTTTAGAATTCGTGAACACAAATTACATGTGATTGTATGTACCAAAAGAAACAATTTTTTTCTTCTGGCAAAATTGCGCTTAAACAGTACGAGGGAAAGTCAATAAATTCTTAGAAAATCTGTCAGAAGGCACTCGCAGTGTCATGTCGCATTACTTTTTGACAAGTAGCATCTTTCAGCTGATTACTGTCGAATTTTGAGCGGAATCATTGCATGGTTTTATTTCTGTAGACGATTAAAGCGAACAACTTTGTATTGTTTGCAAAATGGAAAAAAACGAGTTTGTGCAGTGATCAAATATCTACATATGAAAGGTTTAACGCCGAAAGAAATGAAAGCCGAGTTAAATAATGTTGATAGTACACTAGCGTTTGCGACTGTATACAATTGGGTAAATGAATTTAAACGTGATCATACATCCACATGTGATGCATCTCGTTCGGGACGTCCAATTGAGGCTGCTACGCCAGAAATCATCGATAATCCACGATATTGTTTTGACTGATCGACGAGTGAAAGTGCGCGAGCTTGTTGAGACTACAGGCATATCACATGGTACAGTGATTTCAATTTTGCACGAACAATTAGGTATGAAAAAGCTATCGCGGCAAGATGGGTGCCGCGTTTGCTCACTGTGGACCATAGCGCGATCATGTGACGATTTCAAAACAATGTTTGGAGATGTTTCAACGTAATCCAAATGAATTTCTTCGATTCATTACTGTGGACGAAACATGGATCCATTACTTTATATCCGAGACGAAGGAACAGTCAAAACAATGGACTTCACCGGGTGAACCAGTTCCGAAGAAGGCGAAGACCGTGAAGTCGGCCGGAAAGGTGATGGCCACAGTTTTTTGGGATGCACGCAGTATAATACATATCGATTACCTTCCGTCGAAGCAAACGATCAATGGCGATTACTACAGCCTTATTGGACTGTTTCAACAACATTTTAAAGAAAAAACGTCCCCATTTGGCGAAGAAGAAAGTGCTTTTCCATCAAGACAATGCACGGGTTTACACGTGCCCGGCATCGATGGCCAAATTCAACGAATTCCGCTACGAATTGCTTCCCCTTCCAGCATATTCGCCAGATTTAGCCCCCTGCGACTATTTCCTGTTTCCAAACCTAAAGAAATGGTTCGGAGGATGGAGATTCACCATCAGAGAGCAGCTTATCGTCGAAACAGGTTTATTTTGAAGGGTTGGACAAATTATATTCGGACGGCTTGAAAAAGTTGGAGAATCGTTGGATCAAGTGTATCGAGCTGACAGGAGACTATGTTGAGAAATAAAAATGAATCGATCAAAAAAAATGTGTTTTACTATGTTTTTCTAAAAACTTATTGACTTTCTCTCGTACTTTTTAAATGAGAGCAATTTTAAGTTAACGACTGAGCGCCCCACATTACGCATGAATCAGGAGTAGCGCATACATGGCGCGACTCGACGTGTGATCATGTACATCATTTTTTACTATTTTACTAAAAATTTTATAAAAACTATACATGATATCTAAATATTATAATTATTGTTAAGTATTATTGTTAGTAAGTTGTCTAATCTACTTATTTTATTTTCAGTCGTTTCTTCAGCAATATAAATCAGAAAATATTCTCTTAAATAAGTTATAATATATTCAAAATAGTGACATTTATATATCATGCAGTTTTTATAATATTTTTAGCAAAATAGTAAAATAACGTATATGTTGATATGTTGGGCCGCGCCATGTATATGCACCGCCCCTGATTTATACGTAACATGGAGCGCTTATTCATTAAAATTGCTCTCATTTAAAAAGTAATTTTTGAACGCAATTTTGCCAGAGGAAAAAATTGTTTCTTTTGGCACATACAATCACGTTATGTAATCCATGTCC